AAGCCAACTGGGAGCAGGCCATCAAATTAATTCGATATAAACCCGTAGATGATAAATCAAACAACAACAAACATATGAAACATATGTGTGAACTGCGGTTATGAGACGTATATGAGAACGATCCTTCGCAGTAAAGCACTATTTGGTAGAGCGCTGCACTAGTATCGCAGAGGTCAGTGGTTCGAATCCCGTACAGGCCTGAAATTTTTTTCAGGTCTGATTTCCACTATTGCTCAAATAGTGCTTTACTGCGAAGGATCGTTCTCATATACGTCTCATAACCGCAGTTCACACATATGTTTCATATGTTTGTTGTTGTTTGATTTATCATCTACGGGTTTATATCGAATTAATTTGATGGCCTGCTCCCAGTTGGCTTGTTAGCTCAATTGGTAGAGCGCTGCACTAGTATCGCAGAGGTCAGTGGTTCGAATCCCGTACAGGCCTGAAATTTTTTTCAGGTCTGATTTCCACTATTGCTCAAATAGTGCTTTACTGCGAAGGATCGTTCTCATATACGTCTCATAACCGCAGTTCACACATATGTTTCATATGTTTGTTGTTGATCGTCATTTACGTAACGACATAATCTAATTAAGCACTCCGTAGTTTAATCCGGAATTGCAAGCATATTTTAGAAGTTAGCACCGTGGTCGATCGAGAAATCTATACAGTAAGTTAACCATACATAGCTAACGACGCTAGATTGGTTTGTATCCCAGCTCTCGTTTGAAATTCTCATCCATTTCATCACATACGGATATTAGCAAAGCATTTGACTCCCTCCTTCAGTCGCTCATGGTCAAGATGCTACAAGCCTATAATTTCTCTGACGTGTCATTTACGTCTCCTAAGATCGAATTTCCCAGACCGGCAAGGAAGGGTTAAGCTTGCCACCGTTAACAGCTTTTTGCACGGTTTAAGAAAAGACTGCCCTCAAGGGTCATGTTTCGGACCATTGCTGTGGAATATGTTTCAGAATCACTTAAGTTATAGTATTAAAAACTGTTTAGGATTCACTTAAAGTGCTACTGCGACCAAAAATGCACCTTTTCTTTTCTCCTCAGAGGTTGAAAGTACTTACCCTAAGTAACAAATCTTCCAAATCTTAAGGCAAAACTCCATCGAGAAGTAATATTACTTTCCCTGTAGATTCGCGATCTAAACGGCCGCCATTCTTCGAACCACAGAACTTCGCGCCAAGAAGAAGAGACTGCGTCGAGAAAGGAAGTGACATCAATGACTCAACAAACATCGCTAATTTGGTATGCCGAGAGAGAGTTGTTTTTCTGGTTCCGCAGGAAATAATAAAATTCGAAAGAATTGTTCCCCAGCTATCTTTTGCGAATTTCATGTAAAGGCATGCCTTCGCGACGTTGTCGAAGTGAGTCGATGACGTCACAACTAAAACTGCTTTAGTTATTTTCGCGGGCTCTCCAGTGTGTTATTCGAGCAATGGCAGAAGAATTTTTAATGTCTTCGCGGCACTGTTTTTAAGGAATAACGTTGTCAAATTTGAGAAACTTACGCTTATTCTTATAGTGTAGGGTATAAATGTGAAGTTAACACCAGAAAATTGGGAAAATAAAATTCAAACATTTCGTCGCAGTAGCACTTTAAGTTATAGTATTAAAAACTGTCAGTTTTATATGTGTGCAGACGACCATCAAATATGTGCCTCTCTTTTTTTTTGGGAATTTCTTTATTTTTTTGGCATTTTACAAAACATTACTCTACTTTCAATACACTACAGGACTCAGTTACAGTACGTTGCTTACAATAGTTTACTGAGAACACACCACAAACAAAGTATAGTTTACAATAAACTTGATTACAGCAGATGACTTACTATCAATTACTTCCACTACCTACACGATACACTACATTTACATTACGTAACAACATATTACACTCCTTTCAATATATTACATAAATTACTTACAGTACCTTAATAATACTATATAGCGAAATTGTGTGCTTTACAATAAAATTGACTTCGTATGCTACTCTACATTGTTTGGACACTCATCCCACAAAATGATATGTGGCAAAAGCTTATTCCATTTCTGAAAATGTTTAGCTAATTTATTCCGCTTTGTTGCAATCTTCATTTCTACCTGGTATATCTCCCCGATCTTGGTCTTATAAACTCCTATAAAAGGATTTTTAGAATTCAATTTACAGTTGTATATATAAAATTTAGCTGTCAGTATTAGGTGATTTAGAATAGTAAAGTCCTCTTCCACATTGAAAGCTCCAAAAATTATATCCATTATTGTATAGGTTTGAAAACTAACTTGACATTCACCAAGCCAAGAACAGAAAGCTTCCCAGAAAACCTTTGTAACATTACAGTAGAAAAAGATATGTTCGAAGGATTCAACCTCTTGTTTACAAAAAGTACATGAGGGCGAATCTGCCAATCCCCACCTAAACAATCTTTCGTT